CAGCGAACTTGTCAATGACTTAATCCTTGCTAATGCTCAACGACTTACCTACCAGAATTACGCAAATACCAAAGCTGGGAGCAAAACTTACAGATAAACATGTCATATTCAATATAGATGGATAAATATAGTAAATATTTATTAAGTCTATTGGATTGTTCCGCTAGTAACTTCGTTTTTTATAGAGAATAAGTATTTTAATAAATTACGCATTGCCCAAGCTGGTTCAAATACATTTGGCTATCTTTCGTGCATCATTTTACTGGCTTCAAATATTTTTTGCTGACATTTCACCTCAAAAGTTTTGTAGAAACTGGCAGAAGTAATAACGGGAACGAAAATATCCAATTCTTTTTTGAGTTATTTTGCCTCAAAATGTTTTGTCTAAACAGACAGGATATTTTGTTACCTTTTTTTTATTACATTACATTACGAAAACAGTAACAAAAGATGTGAGAAAATTGTGACTTTTTATGAGGCCACCTTTTTAGGTAAAATGCCCAACCAAAAAATTGTCAAAACATGAATCTGTCTCAACCGTATAGAACTTATCTACTTGTATGAGAATTTTATCCCCCAATATTTTGCTATTGATCAATTCTTGTCTTATCAGTTTAAGTAAAGAAATGTTTAAACTGGAATCTAAAAAAACGAATTATCTGAAATTCCACCTATTCCTTTATTAATTTTGGCTATCGAATTGATTTGAGCCAGTCACCTTTTTCTTACTCCATGATCTCTTTTGTAAAAAATTGTTGCAGATTATTCATGATGCGCATGAAAAATTGATCATTTTTTGCCGTTTGAGGAGCAAAAGCCAAAAGTAAGAATAGGAAGAACGCATATGTGGAGCATTGAAATTGTACCTGGGCGTGTCAATCAAAAATTAAATTTTAAATTCATTCGAATTTTATGTTTCAGCTATTTTACAGGTTATTCGCCGATTGGAATAATTTTTCGTGTCTTTATAAGCTATAAGTGGCCTTTCAGGACCTGGTAAATTTTCAATATCGACATTTTTCAAACCAGCTTTGATGCTGATATTCTGTCCATATCATCTCCATTCCCATCGGAAATTTTCTTCTTGCTTGAACAGGATTTTATCCTTTAGGTCACAGAACAGTATGCAAAAAATGCAGCTTTCATCTTTACAGATTTGCAATAATAAAAATTGAAAACCTTGTACTGCCTAAAACTCACTAAAATAATATTTACGTCATGGTACAGGCTTTGTTGAAAAGGCAATTTTCGGGTCTCAATAAGTCATTTTTACCGAATTTAGACCTTTGATTGAATTTAATCCTAAAGCCATTATTGAGACGCCGTTATATCCAGAAAACTCACTGTTTGATGGGCTTGTTTGTTTATGGTCAAGTCAGTCTAGTGGAATAAAAAAGTCAAAAATTGCACTTTCGTCGATTACTGTTCATTCAAGCCATCCGTCGCGCCCATATGCGCCAAAATTATATTTAAGCCATAATGGCATACAATTTCGTTTTCAATAAAGTCAGTACCATGACCTTAACATTCATTTCAAGAGTTTTATTTTAATTTAAAGTTCGATACCTCTAAAAAAACACCCTTTACATAAAGGTTTAATAAATCGGTAAGAAAAGAGAAACATCTTCTACCGAAGACTCGGCCGGAAACCCCAAACAAGCTCCAAAGTTCTTTCTTTGGAGCAACAAAAAAAATAGAAACATTTGGCGTAGGCTTTTTGGAAATATTTGTTAAATAATGCAGAGATAATAACTAGATAACCTCAAAGCAGTGCCGTAGCAAGCTTAACTCGCACCCAGGGCGCCCACCTTTATAGCGTCCCTCCCACCCTCATTCGAATTAATTCGACCCAGCAATTTTTTGTTTTGCGGACCATTTGGCGACCCCTTGTGAGTTGCGCACGGGTTACGATGCCCCTTCTTGTCCCCTCTTCGCTACGCCACTGGTCAAAACAGATAATTACATTTTTAAAATTTAACTTAAAAAGTAGTGTCCCTTTTGTCTCACTCTTTTCACTTATTTAGCAAACGGAAAATTAAAACGAAAGCGATAAAGGAAACAGTTTCATTAAGTCTCGTATTTAATTATGATGCATAAAACATTTCAAAAAATCTCTTAAATATTCACTTGCATATTAAAGACGCTTCAAGAATGCTACAGATAATTAAGAAATTCAGGATGAAGTCTTGAGAATGTTTTCATATGAAATGCAGGTAAGAATGTCGATTGTAATAAAAATGTCTTCATTCCAAGCAATATCGATGTGTTCCCTTAAAGAGGTCAAGTAAAAATGATGCTGCCACGAAATACACATCTTCCGTATATTTGGATACAAATATGAAATTTTAATCTGCTCAAATTACTTATTAATAATTTAATCTGTAAAAATTACACTTTGCGTCACAAACCGAGCACAATTTAGTCATTAATTTATTCTGCTATTTTATTTCGCATGATCTTTCTGTTCTGCTCGTTTCCCGCAAATAAAGTATTTATTTTCACGTTTGGATGTTTCCAAATTTAAATTTTCGTTTATACACTACTTCCAAACGCGTAATCCAAATTTTGAAAAAATACCAGATGAGATGTAAGATTATTTTGGGTGTTCTTCGGACTAACATAAATTTGTTCAGATATATTCTTATTGCCGACATCATAACACCCAATCCTACATGGACATTTATTTCCTAATAGTACAAGCAAACGGCGACATATCTATGATCATGAACGCTATTCGGACGTCGAGTACGTAAAAGTTTACATTGGGATTACACGGGCTAGTAAAACACTTTTACTTTTGATATTAATAGATAATCCGATAATTGATTAGCTCTGATAGTAAATTAATTGTTTTATAAATACCTACGTAACGGAATATAGGCCATTTAATTATGTAGGCTTAACTTCGAATATGGGTTTTAAGATGTAGGCATGTCAAATGCTTAATACCTACCTCTTTGTGACATCTGTTGCAAATAGTTTCAGTTGATCTTACATTGTGAAAGTGTCTGGTTGTTCAACAAAGTTTTTGCACTGATTTGTTGCATAAAACATACTATTTAATTAAAACATATATTAATAATTTTAGAACCGTTCATTTGTCTAATTGGAGTTCAGATATATTTGGATTGGCACATGTATTTGTGGAATATTTTAACTTTAATTGGAATATTTATTGATTTCGCTTTCCATAGTGTTTCTGATTGTAGGTACTTGCAGTAGGGGCGAGCTGGAGCACTTCTTTGTACTTTGAGCAAGTCAGGTGATTTTAGTGTAGCTGTAAATTTGCCTTTGATATTGTGTTGACCATCATTGCTCAACTCAATCAAATTAGGAAACTGCAAAATATGTCGGATAATGAAGTTTTCTTCTATTGGTTTTTTTTTTGTCAATTTATGATTGCGATGAAATATATTTGCAGGAATCGTTATTCTGACATTACGGTTTAATAACATTTTTGATCGTTTCAATTCTTTCTTTGATATCACTACCAATTTCAGTCAATTGTTGCTGATAAAAGCGTAAAAATAGACCAGACAGTATGGCAACTGGCTTTAGATGTTTGGTGATAATTAATTTATTTTGTATTTTAAAAATTAAATCATATAATAGCCGTAAATATAGTTCAGCTTGTTTGAAGAATTGTTTCTCAACTTTCTGGCTGCTAAGCAATTAAGCCGAAATCGTTTAATGATTAATACCGTGTATTCCATTTTAAAAATTTCGAGAATTGAAAATTCGATTCAGTCATAACAACATGTTTGAGGAAATTCGGGCAGTTTCGATCCAGAAAGAGAAATTTAAATATCAGACAGTTTTAGGTGCACGATTAGGCCAAAATTTTATGTTTTCCATCCCGTTTTTACTCATTTCTCGGAAGCAAAATGAACAGGAAAGCTCATTTTTACATCATTCCAGAGATAAATAAAAGGTCTTTTTAGAAATTGAATCATCGATAAGAAAATGTTGACAGTTTTTCTAAAGTCTTGATTTCAAGACGTTTTAGATTTGCGTTTTTCAAGCCCCATTTGAGCCGTAGAATTGGTTTTGTCATAGTTGGATAGAGAATTGAAAATTCGACTCAGTCATGACAACATTAGTTAGGAAATTCGAGTAGTTTTGACCCAGAAAGGGAAATTTTAATATCATACATTGAGCAGCGGCGGATCTAAGTTTCAAGTCAGGGGGGGCATGTAGTAGAAATTCAGTCTTTTGTTGTCTATGAAATTACAAAAATTCTCGTTAGTCGATATAAAACCAGCACAAGGGGGGTCATAACCCGCATGACCAGCTTCACTGGAACCGCCCTTGCGTGGCCTATAAGTATTTAAGAGTTTGATTGCATCTTACACCCGCACAAAAAACAACAACAAAGAATCTAACTTTATGCTAATCTAAGACTTTCGGAAAATACTTTAAAAATTGGAAAAAAAGATGGTAATTAATCGTTTTCATCAATGCGACTGTTCCCAAATTGTGTCCAGACTCATCAAAGTCACCGGTTGAGCAGAAAATTGCATCGCTTTTGCAGAATTAATCAGATAAACCAAAATGCAAAAGATATTAAAAATAATATTGTACCGTGGATGGCCGAGTATTAAACTCTATCTTCAGCTTACAACTTTTATTCCACTCGGTACAACTTTAACTATGGAACAGGAACAAACTAACTTCTAAATTAACGTCAACTTCATAAACAACAACAATAACAAACGGAAAATTCGCTCTTCAGACTCGCGGAGCTTAACCTCTTCTGCACCCGGTCGCTGCTGTCACTTCACTAACTCCCCATGGTTCTCGTCGTCGCTTATATAGTTTCCTCCAGGTAACCCAGAAGGTTCTCGATATCTCCAGTCCAGGTGCGAAATTTCCCGCTTGTCAGTGTCATATTTGACAGTAAATGGGGCCCAAATGGGGCTCCCATTTTACTAAAATACCATGAATTTCGATCCCCCATTCCAAACGTGAGTACCCCAGGCCATTTCCGTTACACTGCCCCCTTCCTAAACCCTGATCGCCCCGATTAAGTAACTCCTGGATCATCGTTATATCTGGCCAAACGGTGAATGTGGACAACTTTAAATTCTGCCTGAGGGCTCTTCTGGATTCGATATGTGACATCGTTGAGTCTGGTGATTATCGTATAGGGTCCCTCCCAGGAGTTTTGAAGCTTTGGACAACGGCCTTTTGTCCGTCGGGGATTGAAAAACCAAACTCGTTCACCTTCGCTAAATCCGACGTGATTCGGTCTGGCGTCATATCGGCTCTTCATTCGATCAGATTCGATCTTCAATTTTGTTCTGACCTCATCGTGTACAAGTTTCAGTTGTTCTGCTAGCTTGAGTCCATAATCTTCGCCAATTTGTAAATCTTCCGGTCTTCCTGTGAGTAGATCAATGGGAAGTCGCAATTCCCTCCCAAATAAGATTTCTGCCGGAGATTTGCCAGTGGATTCATGGACTGCTGATCGATAGGCTAATAAGAA